GGAACTGGCGATCTCTAAGCTAACGAGGAACACATGCAGCTTGAGCTAAAGTTCCACAGCCGGGGCTATAATAGACTCTTATCCTCTACAGAGGGGGCCGTGTAACACTCGCTAGTGGGTTACACCTGCGCTGAAGAACAAATATTTATTTTAAAATTAGTTTATATTCGTTTTCCTAGTTTGGGCCTGATCCTTCTCCCAGCGAAGTCTGTTTTGGACAAATAAGTCTGCATTGCTCTCTGTATGATTAAATAGCTGTTTGGGGGGAAAAAACTCCTTTTTTTCTGCTTTCAATCCACTTCTACTGTGTTTCTTTTCCTGCACAGGCGAGAAACAGCTGGACGATGCCCTGTGCAGGAAAGGTGAGTGTTTCCAAGAGTCTCATCCCATTCAGCGCAGCCCACACTTTGCACCTTCAGAGATGAGTCACATAGATTACTAGACCTGATCCCAATGAAATTAGCAGACTGCAGGAATCCCCATGTAAGGTGGGGGTAATTACCAAAGGCAGCAGGACTCTATTTGATAAACTGATTTGTATTGAGATTTGAGTCGATACAGAAAAATCACTTTCTTACAAAGTACAATTGTCTGACAATCCTTTGAACACCCATGCCAGACTTCACTGAATACTCTTAAATTCTGCTCTCATTTAAACTAGTGAAACCCCACTGAAATAAATGGGGTTGCACAGGGGACCTGAGAGCAGAATCTGGCTGGGAGTGTGAACTTCTGAATAGTTTTGCAAAAGGCATGCACATCTACAAAGCCCAACTCTTCAGAATAGCAAACTGTCAAAAGTTATCAGAAAACAATTCCTTTTACTCCAGGAAAGACATTTGTTTTTAAATTCCCCTTCTGCCCAGGTGCACGGGACTGCAAGCAGCTGTTAAGCGAAGGGAATTCTCTGAGTGGCTGGTACACCATTTTTACGCAGGACTGTGTTGCCATGACTGTGCTGTGTGACATGGACACGGATGGCGGGGGATGGATTGTAAGTCAGAATAAAGCACCCTTTGCCCCATTGCAGCCAGTTAAACGCTGTGTATTGCTTCCACCAGTTTTACGGCTGTTCAGGCCACATTCCCTCATGCTGGGTCATCTCCCTGCCTAAGCTAAACCCCGGGACCCTTGGGGAGATGCACCCTGGGCTGCCCTCCCTCAGGAAACTTCATTGCTCCACAGGATCCAAGCCATTATGGCTGGCAGCAAGGCTGTGCTGCCTGGGTTACCCCCATCCCCATTTCCTGGAGCAGTGCTGCCGACTTTCAGGGCTGCATTGGTCGCTACGGGTCCCTTGATGAAGGAGAGGCTGCTGTTCCTTTTTGCCTTGGCCTCCTCCTCCTGCTAGACTTCCCAGCCCAAGGCCCTCTGTCAGAGTCAGTTCCTGCAGAAGCTGGCATTGAGCCTGGCTTGGATTTAACCTGAAGATTTGAATTACACTGAAAAGAACTTTGTTTTAGCGTCTTCCACGCCTTTTCTGGAAACCACTGTCTATATCACATGATGGCATGGCTTATTGCAGGCGTCTGATAAGCCTGCGTTATTCAGGAGTGATGTATCTAGCCAGGAAGGGAGGAAAGTGTTATGAGCAGTTCTGTGCACCTAGGCCCTGATCTTCAAAGGTATTTCAGAGCTAAACTCCCATTAATTTCAATGGGAGTTGGTGCCTAAATACCTTTGAGGATCTGGGCCTTTGTGTCCAAAGCTATCTCTGGAACTGCAAAGCTTGGTTTTCAGAAGTACTTCGCATTGGACTAAGTCTGCTCCCGCTGCAATCCAAGTGAGTTTCCCCCTTGACATCAGTGGGAACAGAATGAGTTTGACACTGAGCCCTCTTAAAAATCCCAGCCAACCATAATATCTTCTCCTACTAGAAATTTAGTGCTGCAGCCCGATCTCCCCCACGCTGGTGGACACAGTGACCATACTGAATGTAACTGTAACTGCTGGACCGTTTCCACTTTGCATCCCTGTTTGTCCTTTGACCTAAGGGAAGTATTCAAACCACACCACTCCGACGACAGCAGAGCTGTGCTTAGCCACATAATACTGAAGTGGATTTGGCCAATGTAAATTGGAGCCTGTCCTAAGGAAAGGGGAACAAAATGGGAAATTTGATAGCTAAGTCCCTTTCGTTTCCCTGCAGGTTTTCCAGAAACGGGTGGATGGTTTGGTGGATTTTTTCCGCGATTGGAATTCGTACAAGAGAGGTTTTGGCAGTCGGCTGTCAGAATTCTGGCTGGGGAATGACAATATTCACCTGCTGACGTCAATTGGTGAATAAATCACTGATGCATTTTTTTTCTTAGTTGTTTCAAGTAAGCCCTTCACCTCTTCCCTTAGAAACAGACCCTAGAGTGGTACCTGCTGCTGGAAATGACTGATTGGCTGGAGTGAGGGTGGGCAGCCAAGACTCCTGGTTCTAGTCCTGTCTCTGCTACTGAACACTCTCTGAGAAATAGCTATCCCATTTGTAAAGGGGGATAATGGTGCTTTGCAAAGCATGTTAACACACAGATAAAATACACTGGGGATTTGATCCAAAGTCCCTGGGTGTCTTTACTTGCCTTCAGAGGCCTTTGGATGACCCCCTAGAAAAATGCTATGTATTATTTTCCACCAAGTCCTTCCCCACAGTCACAGGGTACAGAGCAGGGTTGGAAGGGCTGTCAAAGGCATCTGTCTCTTTACAACCCTGCCAGGAAAAACGATCGTAAATAAACTCCAGAGAGGAAGGGGATTAGCAGATTGAAACAGTTAGTAAAAGCAATTGTGCATGGTACCCGTGCACCTGAATCTCCCATGGCCAAGATCCACCAGCAAAGTCTGTGCAAAAACCTTAATGGAATCTGCTGACCATTTTATTATCAAATTGTTTTGTAATAGGAACCCAGGAACTGCGCATTGATCTCAGGGATTTTGAAGACAACCGTGTATTTGCCAAGTACAAGTCATTCAAAATATTAGGGGAGACTGAGAAATACAAGCTGATCCTTGGAGACTTTCTTGGTGGGACTGCAGGTGGGTTCTGGATTTATTCTCTAGTGGTCATAGCAACTGGAAATCCTGCACGCTGAAGAGAAACGGAGGGTATCCTCTGCCAGAAGCAAAATAAACTACTCCCTGTGGGCAAAGCCTCTTTGGGAAATATGTGCCCTTAAAGCATTGCATTAAATGTAATGGTAACTCTAGACCTAGACACTGCATTATTAAGAGGTCTCCTCAAGCAATCTATGGATTTCGAGAAAAGGATTGCTGTTCAGCCATTCTACTTTATAATATTTGCTCTCAGATCTTCTAGAGCTGCACATCTGGAGAGGCAACTAAAGATTGTTTTTAGGAATTCTGAACCTGATAAAATTATTATGGATCTGAAATTATAGGAGGGTCCCATTGGGAGTAGAGAGTTTGAGCCGGTTTGCCACAGTCATACCTACCTGACCTAGGCTAATGCCTTCAATGTAAATCAGTCTTTCCCCAACCCTCCCACCAATTTCCAGTGCAATATCGAGAATGATGGAGATTTTTTAAGTACAATAACCTTATTTGCTCTATTGGCAACACATGAGGAGGTTGATGGCTCTCCATTTTAGGAGAGTGGGGAGCAAAATACTCATAAACTCCAAATCCTTCCCTGCCCAAAATTATGGGATTCCTCCCCTCCCCCCAAAGCAAGTAGGCTAATTGTTTGATAAAAACAGCTTTGTTCCTGGAAAAAAATTACAATTACATACAGCGATGCTAGCTGACATGGGGTGAATATATGTCGTTAAGAAAAGCATTATTTTTCTGAACCTTTGAATCCGCACCTACATTTCACAGTGTGATAACTACAGTCAGTACCCACAGGGACAATTTGTTCATACAATCCGTTTGTGTAATTCAGCTAGCATAACCCTCAATGTGCATGCAGAATGCAAAGATTAAAAATGAACAAAACCAGTTAATAGGGGTTGATTTTATGGGCCAAGTTTGCTAAAGACCTTCGCTCCCATTTAGGCATCTAAAGTGGTACAGTCTCCGAGAGAGATCAGCAATAAATGGAAACAACGGCATTTGTGTTTTTCCCCAGGGGATTCTCTATCGGTTCACAAGGGCATGGCCTTTTCAACCAAGGACGGTGACAATGATCAGAGCACAGACAACTGTGCTACAGACTGCCTGGGGGCCTGGTGGTACAATGGATGTCATCACTCCAACCTGAATGGGTTTTACTGGCGGGAGAGACAAGAGAAGCATGCTACTGGCATAAACTGGTTGGCAGGAAAAGGTCACGGCTATTCCTATAAGTTCTCTGAAATGAAATTTAGGCCGGTTTAGCCCAGCTGGAGGACCGCTGCAGGCTGCTCCCACTGAGGTGAGCATTCAGCTCTGATCAGGCTACAAAGGACTTTTGTCCATGTGAAGATTTAGTTTACGGCAAGCTGGGGTGTGAACCTACCCCTCGCTCGCCTGACACGCACTAACCGTGGACCCTCCTGACACCCACTAACAGTTCGTTAGTGCACGTTGAAAGGGGAGTAGGTTGAAGCACACTAATGAACCGTTAGTGTCCATCAGCAGGGGCCACACAGATAGTGTGTGGCAGGCTATTGTGAGGTAGACTCGCATCCCAGCTTGCTGCAAATGAAATGTTCATGTAGGCAAGCCCTTCGATGGTTTTTTCGCCATATGTATGTTTGTTTTTAATGCACGTTCTGTGTTTTTTGTGGACAGGGTCTCCCCTGCCTGAGGGTGGGAGATACTCACCTCATTTTGCAGCCACTACTTTTCACTTGATCGTTTCTCATCCATTTCCACCTGCGGCCACCACTGATAGCACAGCGCCTCTCCAGCTAACGGAGCTGCCCCAGGCACCCACTGGAACACAGGTGAAGAAGAGAGATCAGAGTTGTGAGGAGAGCACTGGGTGGCTCCCTCCTCTTCCTGAGACACCAAGTTTGTCACGTCTGCCATCAAATCCATCTCCAGACACTCGGGGAACGGAAATCCTAAAATGGTCTAAAAACCAGGCTGGTGCCCTGCCTAGCTGTGTCCTCCCTTGCCACTGCAGGTGCTACCACCCCTTCATCAAGTGACCGTGTGCTGTCAGGACTTCTGCTCTCCTGGCCGGATCCGTTTTGAAAAGTTGAACTGTTTGTGTTCTTCTCTCAAGTGCTTTTTTTTTAAGGCGCAATTAATATTAATATGGTTAAGATGAGAGATGGGCCCACGCTTTCAAATTCAGATTTGGATCTGAACGTCTCCAAATTTCAGAGCTGTTCCGTTCTGTGATCCTGGTTTTAATCCATCTCTTGCTGTGATTTCCCGACTGTGAGAAAGAAAACAAATGTTGTTCCGCTTGGAGAGCAGCTTCCTCTTAATGCAAGTAATGTGTACGCAACATGGTAACAATTAGGAGTTTTTCTGTGTAATGCACCTTTAAATATCTAGGTGTCTGCAGTCTATGGAGAGCTACCTTTTTGTGTTTGGTTCAGCTGCAGACTTTAAGGAACAGAAGCAAACACTGTGCTCTGTCTCCTGGAGACTTTGCTTTTGTTCTTTCTTCTCTTATTATTTTCCCTTCTTCTAAAATAAAAGCCGTTTAGACTGCAAATGCATGGCTGGGCTTTGTTTCTGGATAGCTTTCCAATTAACATTTCAGCTGTTCGGTTTGATGCCTTTGGTTCTGTCTAAGCATTTGGGGAGTGTTGTGTAGATAGTGTAGCCTTGCTGTCCTGTACATCACTGCCCACTGAATGTTCACTAGGGGTTTCCCCTTATGAAACAAACACATTTCCTTAAGTTGATAAGATGCAATCAGAGCTGTTGCCACGATACTGGGAAATCCTGATACACTGACTGTTTGGCTTTTTGTATATATATGCGGTAATAGAGTAAAACATTGGCTGCATAAAAAGAGGTTGGATTTTGTCTTTTTCACTTGACTGGGGAAGCTGTGAAAATAGCCTTATAAACACACTCTACTCTCCCTGAAATAGATAAGATCCAAGCAACCAATTGTCACTATGACGGGCTATCCCCCCCTGGGTGCAGTCTGGGAGCCGTGGGAACCGCTTTGCCCCCTAACCATGCAGCTGGTCTGGTCTAACTCACACTGCTCTGTTGGTGACACAGCCAGCCTCTTCAGGCCCTGCTGTCACTCAACACGACAGCAGGTGGCACCACACACCCAACTGAGCTGCCTTAGTGCTTTACCTAAGCCACTCGAAGACGAGCAGGAGACAACAGCCATTAATATAGCTTGTTTTCCCTTCGATGTGGGAAAGATATGCACAATAAGCTTGTGTTAACCAAGCTGAAATTACCCCCAGACACTTTACTTAAAGGCACAGTGGTTTAGATTAAAACATTAAACAAGTTTATTGAATTAAATAAAATAAATATATTTTTATCTCCTAGAACTGGAAGGGACCCCAAAAGGTCAAGTCCAGCCCCCTGCCTTCACTAGCAGGACCAAGCCTTCAGTAGCAGAACTACAAAAAGATAGATTTTAAGTGATAGCAAACAGATCAAAGCAGATTACCTGGCAAATAAACAGAAACACAAACTAAGACTAACATACTAGATGGATAGGATTTGAATTAGCAGCACCTGACCCTGGCTGATGATACAAGCATTCCACCATGTTCCCATACACAGGCTAGAAATCCCTTTAGCCTGGGACCAGCACTCCCCCCAGTTCAGTCTTTGCTCCTCAGGTGTTTCCAGGAGTTCTCTTGTGTGGGGAGCGAGGCCAAGAGATGATGTCACTCCCACCTTATATAGCTTTTCCATATAGTGGGAATCCTTTGTTCCAAGCTCAGTTCCCAGTCCAGTTTGTGGGGAAACTACAGGCACCAAAATGGAGTTTGGTGTCATGTGGTCTGGTCACATGCCCTGCTGAGTCATGGCGGCCATTACTCATAGGCTGTCTGGAGCATTCACAGGAAGACTAAACTCTTCTATGGTTCATTGTCTTTGCTGATGGACCGTCAGAACTGTCTAGCTTCTTCATTGTTGTACCTGAAAGGCTAGTTATAGATGTTACCCAGAGTAAGCACATTTGAAATAGATACATAGTCAATATTCATAACTCCAGATAAAAAAATGATACATGCATGCAAATAGGTCGGATAATCATATTCAGCAAATCATACTTTTTCCATAGACATCTCCCAAGACACATTTTGTACAAGATGCATTATAACTATGTCATAATCTAATCCTATAATGATACCACTATGATGAATATGGGGTGTCGTGTCACAGACACCATTTACCTTTGCAAGTAATAGCAAAACTGTTAATGTACAAGGCTGTGTTCTTTCCAGGCTTACCAGGGGCTGTAAATGGTACCCATTTGCATGTGGCAGGCAATGTGTCTAACTAAAGAGGAAAAGAGACACAGAAAAGATTTCATTGTGACTCATTGGTATGACAGGAGCACTAAGAGACTCTAACCACGATCAGGGCTCTATTGTTCTGCAACAATGGAGCTAATAATATTGCCTTTCTCCCACCCTTCACTTGACTTGTCTATTTATGTTGTAATATCTTTGGGGTAGGGACTGTCTCCTAGTAGGGCTATGCACAACAGCTAACCGAATCGGGCTCCACTCTGAGATGAGACCTCCAAGGGCTACTGCCATGCAAATAACATTATGCCATTTTGGTGTTAGAAGCTGGGACTGACATTAGGGGATGGATCATTCAGTAATTGCCCTGTTCTGTTCACTCCCTCTGAAGCATCTGGCCCTGGCCACTCTTGGAAGGGAGAATACTGAGACCATAACAACAGCCATATCATGTCAGACCAATGGTCTCAGTATTCTCTCTTCCAAGAGTGGCCAGGGCCAGATGCTTCAGAGGGAGTGAACAGAACAGGGCAATTCACCCACTCCTGTTCTCCCTCTTCACCAAAAGGTTCCCACCAAAGCCAACAGGGGACTTAAAGTGATGAAGAAGGTCAGATTGGGCTCATTACTTGGGCCCCTATTGTAATGTTCCAGCAGACTCGTTCACTTGAATTAACTTGGGGTGGAAGGGTTAAGATTGGCTCTGTTCAATAATCGTCATTGCATGAGTGTGTATTTGCCATGTGGATGAAGCAATGGCTGCTACTCTAATATTTGAATGTCTCCTATCAAACCATTTAATTAGCTACAGTTGTGAAGCCTACAACATAAAAATCTCAGTGGACACTGCTGGAATGTGGAGAGTGGGAAGGAGGCGCTGAGACACCAGAGGTAGAGGAAAAGGTGGCGAGAAGACAAGCAGAGCTGCCTTTGCAGAGACCAGCACCAGCCATGTGGAGAGCTGCTCTGAAAACGCTCATTGCTTTACTCTGCATAGCCACTGTAGTTTGTGCTGCTAAAGACACCTGCCCAGGTGAGTGAGAGACAAACGTGTTAACAACAACATGGCATATTATGGTTCTTGCTAACCTGGAGCCTGCAGAACTGGGAACTCCTTGCATTCAGCTGCCTTCAACATGCCTTCACTACCAAAGGGCAAATGATCATAGAATCACAGAAACATAAGGCTGGAAGGGACCTTGAGAAGTCATCTAGACTACCTTCCTGTACTGAGGCAGCACTAAATATACCGAGACCATCCCTGACAGGTATTTGTCTAACCTATTCTTAGAAACCTCCACAACCTCCCTTGGAAGCCTATTCCAGTGCTGAACTATTCTTCTAGGTAGAAAGCTTTTCCTAATAGCTAACCTAAATCTTCCTTGCTGCAGATTAACCTGATTTCCTCCTATCCTGCTTTCAGTGGACATGGAGAACTATTGATCACCGTCCTCTTTATAATGGCCCTTAGCATATTTGAAGACTGTAATCAGGTTCTCCCTCGGTCTTGTTTTCTCCAGAATAAACAAGCCCAGTTTTTTAACCTTTCCTTGTAGGGCAGGTTTTTAAAACTGTTTATCATTTTTGTTGGTCTCTTCTGGACTCTTTCCAGTTTGTCCACATCTTTCTTAAAGCGCGGTGCCCCAAACTGGACACAATACTTTGGCTGTGGCCTCCCCAGTGCCAAGCAGAGTGGGGCAGTTACCTCCAGTGTCTTACATATGACACTCCTATTAATAAATCCCAGAATGATATTAACCTTTTTCGCAGCTGCATCACATTGTCGGCTCTTATTCGATTGGTGATGCACTCTAACCCCCAGATCCTTTTCAGTAACACAACCAGCTAGCCCCCATTTTTTAGTTGTGCGTTTGATTTTTCATTCCAAAGTGTAGTACTGTGCACTTGACTTTAGTGAATTCCATTTTGTTGATTTCAGATCAATTCTCTTATATTTGTTCTCTCATAAATAGCAGGAATTTCATTTTAAAACAAACGTTAATTAGAGCTATTTGTAAAGCACCCATCCCTATAATATCTAGGCATCCAGACCATCAGAACTTCCAAGCTTCCCTTCACTATATATTTGAAAACAGAGTGGACAAATTCTCCTCAATTTCACCAGTGCAACCCTGTTGTTTATTATCACAACAGAACTTCCGTTCTGATCCACTATCGAGATCACTGCCTCTCTGATCAGGTCGTAATTTTTATTCAAGAAGAAAGTGGTACTGCTGGTCCCCCGGGCCTGAAAGGTGAGAAAACTCAGATGTTTCTTCTCACTGCAGAGCAGGGCACTTTATGGCGCTGATCATGGTGAAAGAGGGACTGGGAGCCATATTTTCCTCTCTGTTCCATTGCACAATCCTACTGAAGTATAGGAGGGCCTTGGTACTACTGGCAAGGCCCGGCCAGGCCATGTTATGATGTCTGTTTCACAAGTGCCCAGTCCGTCAAAGGACATAACTGCAGGAATCAAATCACATGTGGCTAATACAGCTTCACTCATTACTTACATTTTATTTTTTATTATTATTAGATAAATGAATAAATAATCGTATTTATTTTATTATGAATTTGTATCACTGTAGTGCCGAGAGTCCCCAGTTATGGGTCAGGGTCCCCTTGTGCTAGGCACGGTACAAACAAACACAGATTTAACCATTTAGCTTAGGAACACCGGATCCATACTGCATAATGTGTTTTCTTTGCCATATGCATGAATCTGTGGTACTTAATCAATGGAGGAGTGCGGGCAATTTGAATGAGTGAGTGTTTTTCTTTCAGCTCTCCAGGATTAGCACTAAGGGGGAAATTCAGCCAGTGCAGAAGGCAAGACAAGGTAAATGCATTCCTTAAGCTCCTCTTTGGTGTGTTGAGTGGAAAGTAATTGGTGCATAGGCCTTGCTCTAGCTCCCTGCCCAGTTGAAGCCCAAGGGGGTGCTGAAGTGAGAACTTGGATCAGGGAGATGGTCTCTAAGCAAAACGAGTATTTTATTGTGTATTCTTCTAGGAGAGAAAGGAGTCCCTAAAACAATAGACGAGACCCTCTCCTTTATCCTGGGAGGATCATTCCAGTTTCATTTTTGAAAAGCTAAAATTTAATGGGCTTAGAAAACGTCCTTTTTGAGTCATTTCCACACCAGATCGAGCTCACCGTGTTCCCATAGGCCAGGCTCTGCCTGAAGAGTCAAATAGCCCTCCCTGCCAAATACAGGTGGCCGTCCAAATGTTGCAGCATCTGCAGTAACTCCAAGCA